GGGGATCCCTAGATCGGTAAAATAGGCGAATTTCCTTCTACAACTTCGGTTGTTGTTCGGTATACAGTTAAAGTTTTAACAAAGTTCGAGCGAATACGTAATTAGCAAAAAAAAATTGAAATAAAGTGATTAAACAAACATTATTACGAATATCGTAAATAACAGTTCACAAATGCATATATAAAAATATTTTTGAAGGGGGAAATGGTCTTCACAATTTGAAATCGATCAAACACGCTGTGCTCGAATGCTCGTGTAAACGCGCGCCATCTATCGTAGGACAAATGTACTTCGCGGGAGTGTATTAAAAAACTTTCCGAAGTTTTATGGCAATCGTACTATGCCACAAACCTTCGCCGGAGTATATTAAACAACTTCTCAAAGTTTCACGGCAATCGGATAAACGGTGTGGTAATGCATGAAGGACAGACACACACACACACACATACATTCATTTTTATATATATAGATTTATAGATAGCTGTGATAATTATCACAGCTATCGAAAATTTATATTACAATATTTGCACATTTATATATTTATATTTTATATTTGAATAAATTAAATTAAATGCTAATAATTATAACTATTTAGATTATTTTTCTATAATTTTTTAATTAAAATATAAATTTACAACTGATAATTTCAATAACTGCATTCCTGAACAAATTCTATAAATGCATGTTCTGTAAAAAGCAACTTTAAAAATTTATCATTATTTTTAGTTCGAATATTTGTAATTTTTCATTTTTGGTCGCAAATTCTTTCGTAAAGCATACAAGATAAAGGTCTAAATATGAAAGGCATCTTTTAAATATTTTCTACTTTAAATGAATTCTTTAAATTCGAGAACTCACCAAGGACGTTGAAGATGTTAATGGTCTAAAGCAGTGTTTCTCAACGGAAGCGATATCGCCCCCGTTTTTCCATGTTGAGGGGGCGATTAGTAACAATTTATATTTGGGGGAGCGAAAAACAATTTTCTGGACTATATAGTAAAACATTATATTAAGAATAATTAAATATTTTATTCGTTATATCGTACAATAATTAAACAAATAACATTATACTAGTCACTAGTCTATTCAATGCAGTATGAATTTGGCGTTAGCCTTGGCCCTGGGCATCGGAATTTTGAAGTGAAGGGGGTGCTACTACGTAACGGTTTTATTGAAGGGGGCGATACTACGTTGAAGGGGGCGACGATTCGTTAGAGGTTGAGAAACACTGGTCTAAAGTTTAGGCCATTTTGAAATACATTATATTAATAAATATAATATTAAATACATTATATTCAGGTCCTTATTTGATTTAAAGTCAACAGATATGTTCAGAAATTTCAAATGTTTATGCTGTATTTGAGATTGTTCAAGTACAGGGCCAACCTAAAAATTATGCGGCCCTGTGCAGGATAGTTATTTGTCGCTCTTTTTAAATATATGCATAGTTGATTTTAATCGAAAGATCCGAGGGCTCGAACCTCACACATTCAATTGCTTAATTATTTTAAAAAAGTAAAATAATCGATTATCTGAAATTAAGAATGTTTTATTCTTTTTATTTTCTCCGACAAATTTTGTCGGCCCTAGCAATTTGTCTCCCTAGACAGCCTCCTATCTTGCTCATCCCTGTATTGGCTACTGTTCAAGTATTACATCAGCAGAATTTTGCCCATTTTTGATCTCCTCCTCCATCATCACCAATCATCAGATATAAACCTATTCTCTTACCCTAATTATGTCATCAGGCCAGAAGTTTAAACTACTGTACTCGCAAATACATAAGAATTGTTTTCAAACACTTTTGTGATGATTGGAAGAAAAGTAAACGATGGGTCTTATGTCATGAAAGACTCAATTCCGTCTACTCATCGTCAACAATCGTAAGATAAAAACGAATCTTTCCTTTCTATAAACTACTGACATAATACCAGCAATTATTTATTGTGTCATCGTCAGAATGCTGGACTGCAATTTTTTGTCTCAATGTACTTTTTTTAGTAGTGTCTTGCCCTTGTACATCACACTTTTCCTGTTAGCAATGAAGTCATGCCGGTCTTGTATCTAACTTCGTTCAAGAAAAAAATTTTGAATTGAAATAACATGACTTCCGGGCCAAAAGAAAAGTTCATATGCAGTTTATCGGGGTCTCATGTTCTTACACCTTTCACATCATTCTTGATTTACATCTATCTAACACCGTTCTTGAGATTAAAGAAGGACAGACAAACTGACAGACAACGACAGTGGGAATTTATACATCTACAATTTTTTCAAATTGCAACCCAACTGGAACAATTTCTTTTTATAAGTAGATATTTTTAGATATTTCTTTATGCTTTATGCTTTAAATATAAAAACATTAGAAGATTTTAATTACTTAAGTTAGTTTTACGAATCGATTATTTTTAACATTATTATCAGTATGGTTTAAGTCTTAACTTACAAGTTAGTCTCTCTAAATGTGGTACCCTACATTTTTCTCGCCCGTAATTTACTTTAGAATTTTATATTCTTATTTTACAGAACATTTATGTAATTTTCTACAATACTATATAATAAAATAATAATATAATGTAAATACAATGGAAAGTTTTACGGAAATAAAAAATGTGTTTGTGTCTATAATATTTATATTTTTATCACGAATATATCTTAGTCTTTTACCTTATAATTGATCTTATACCTTCAAAAAATGTTTATCTTTGTTTATAGAGGATAAATTATCAGTTTAAAATTCTACTATATTTTAGTTTATTTCATAAATAGTGACACAGATTTGTTATATAAATTATATAAAATTAATACTGTAATAAATATATATATTTTTAGATATAGATGAAGACATTGACATCAAAACAACAGCTAAGGGAGTTCGAGTCTTATGCTGGGTTATGACAAGTCCAGCAAATCACGTAAAGAAAGCCAAACACGTGAAAGCAACTTGGGGGAAGAGATGCAATATTCTTTTGTTCATGAGTACCCAATACGATCCCCATCTTCCTATTATAAAATTGAACGTTTCGGAGGGAAGGAATTCTTTATGGGGGAAAACAAAGTCTGCATTCAGATATATTTATGAGCATCATAGAGAGGATGCGGATTGGTTTCTAAAGGCAGATGACGATACCTACGTAATAATAGAAAATTTGAAGTATTTTCTCATGTCTCAAAATACTTCGGAACCAATATACTTCGGGTGCAAATTTCGGACTTTAGTGAAGCAGGGATTTATGAGTGGAGGTGCCGGTTACGTGTTAAGTAAAGAAGCTGTAAGAAGATTTGTCGAAGCATTAGACAATAATCAGTGTCGCAAAGATGATGGAGGAGCAGAAGATGTAGAAATAGGACTGTGCTTAGAGAAAATAGGCGTCTTCGCTGGGGATACTAGAGATAGCAGAGGCAGAGGAAGATTTTTTCCGATGGTGCCAGAGAATCATATAATACCAAATGCCATCCCTAACAATAGCTGGTATTGGAAACTTATATACTATCCAGTAAAAAAGGTATTAAATTATTATTTTTTAACAATGCTAATTCCACATCATCAAGATTATGCAAAAACTGGAAACAATGATTTTATTTTTAATACTGTATTTTTATACTGTTTCTTTTATAAAATTTATGCAGAGAACTATAATGATTTTTTCCACTTTCAGACCAGATATTCACACGATAATTTTTTAAAACATTTTCCGCTCTGTAGACACTAAGAAATCTTTTTAGCAATCCCATTATGAGTTCGGCCAAGTTCACAATGGAACTCCAGATGGTGAGGGAGGGATCCAACATATCCGGACGGCCCACCCCGGATAATTTTTCGACTCGTCCAGATTCGTCCAGAGTCCTCTAGAGCAGGGCTTCTTAAACTTTTTATATTCACGACCCCATTTCCACGACCCTACGATTGTGAATTTTTTCGCGACCCCCCCCCCCCAAAAAAAAAATCTAAAATAAAAATATATACATATTTGCAAAAACAATAATGGTGTACTACCACAGTCACTCTTGTGTTACAATGGAACAGAGACAATTGAATACACTGAACAGCGACAACACTACACTAGTTCACACTACAGCGTTGCTGAATCGTTGTCTCGCTGCACCAGAAGTGACACAAAGCGCAACTCACGAAATCTATGACACAAAGCGTGCCATTTTCAAACTCTCTGAAATTATTTTCAATACTTTGCATTAAAATCTCGCGACCCCAAAATTTCGCTAAGCGATCCCAAATGGGGAGGTGACCCATAGTTTAAGAAGCCCTGCTCTAGAGTATTGCAATAGGCTGTCACGAGAAAGTATAGGAATCCTTTGTCCACGATGTTTCAAACACGGTTTTGAAATAACGCTATTTCTACCTATAAATTATACAATATTTAAAAACAAAACTAAAATGAATGTTTTCTTTATGTAATTAAATGTCAAAATCGACATTATTCTTTTTCTACTATTACTGTTGACATTCGACCGTATTGACAATTTATAAGCATTCATCCAGTCACTAAACCCAGCGCCGTAACTAGCCTTTTATGTGCCCGGTGCGAGCTTCTGTAACTACGCCCCAAAACTATGACCCAAAACTTGGTCCAGGTCATTTCTGCGCCCCTAGGGTCTGCGCCCTGTACCTGGGCACGCAGGCACCATATTTAAAAACAAAACTAAAATGAATGTTTTCTTTATGTAATTAAATGTCAAAATCGACATTATTCTTTTACGGCACCTTTTACCTAGTTACGGCACTGACTGAACCTAGTTTTGAATTTTAATTAAACGAGGAATAGAAGCATTGTTGTTGACCCATAAATAAATTCAAAAAGATTTGAAAAGTAAAATAATCCAGGTATCAATTCTAAGTTATTTTAAAAGTTTTAATACTTTTCAACCAGTTTGAAAGTTTTGAGATTTTTCATTTCTTGCAGTTTACAAAAATTTATATTACAGTAAATTCTTTTACTTTTGACGTGAAATTAAACTTATTTTTGTAAAATATGTTCAGTGACGTGGTTATCCTTCTTTCCCTAAGGCCAAGCTTCTTATTGTCCATAGAGCTTAGGTTTTGGCAACTGCAGTTTTACCAACTGCTCTATATTTTTGGATCGTAATTCCTGCAGTTGGCGAGAGCTGCCTGTATTTGTCTATTGCTGTGAAAAACCTCATTTTGAATCTCCGTAATCATCATATATAGCCAGTGGCGTAGCTTGGGTGTCAGCAGCCGGGGGCGAAGGAAAATTTCGCCGCCCCCTTATTTAGGTATCTCAATTTAAAAGACTAAAATTCAGTTTCGTCACAGAATAAGTAATAAAAAATTCCGTGCTCATTTCAATCGGTCCGAATCATAGGTGGACAAAAATATGAAATGAAATGGTTCAAATTTTTACAAGATATTGTTATTATTTATTGTGAAATTTTGCCGCCGCTAAAAGTGCCGCCCGGAGCGGGCCGCCCCGCCGCCCTACTACGCTACGCCACTGTATATAGAGCTCAAGTCAAAACATCGTTATCCGTTACCTTAATAGCTCAAGTCAAAACATCGTTATCCGTTACTAGTTTATGCTGGTCGATCTCTTTAAATCTGGCCTGCTTATAAGAGCGGATCCACACGTTCGGTATTCCCCTATGCTGAGCAAACGTTTAGCCATTACCGAGTAGTGGAAATGACTCGTGACGAATATTCGATATTCACCGTCTTCTATTCCTTGTCGTTAAATTGTGCCGAGTCAAAGGAGACGAATATTTCTCTCCATGCATTCGTGCCGTCCATCCATACATTCTTTCTCGCAATTTTGTATTTTCTTGTTTTTATCATTATTTTTAAAATGGAATGGTCTAATAAAACATTAGATCATTCCATTTTAAAAATAATGATAAATAATGAAAAATAATGAAAATATTCCATCACCGAATAAAAAAATATATATATACTCATTAATTGTGTCATTTATAACATATTAGAATAGGCCTTACAATAAAGCAGTGTTAAAACTAGGAATATATATATATAAGCCAAACTGGTTTGCTTATTTTTCATTAACAGATACGAACTATTCATAACTACAAAAGTAGCGGTTAAATTATTGTTTGAGAATTGTCCATTTTAAATATCTCGGACAAACATTCGTCATTCCCACAAAGAACCCATGCTCAGCAAATAATCACATGTGTGTATTTGTGTGCTTGCTACGCGATCAACACTTCAGCAAATACTTTGGCAATTAATTATTCGGCATTCGGTGAATACCGAATGTGTTGAGTCGCCCTAATATTTGGTTTTCGCCCTTTCCAATTCTTGTAGGTATATTGTGCCGAATCAAAGGGGACAAATAGGTAATTATTTGGCAATTGGTGAATATCGATCGAGTGTGTGGAGCCAACTTAACAAATCAAAAGAATCAATAATTTGATATTCGTTTATTATCTTAATTACGAATAACATAAATAAGCAAATAAAAATTTTTCATTTTTTCCTGATTCTTATTTTTGATGATGCGAAACTTTTAAGCGATTAATTTAGAAATTACGGTATATTTACTACTATTTTTGCTTTAGGGTATGAACTGCTGCAGCGATACTGCCATTTCTTTCCATTACGTGCCTCCCAATATGATGTATGTGTTTGAATATCTTATCTATTACCTGAAGCCTTTTCGCGTAATCAATTCCACTCATCAAGTTGGTAATAATACTTTGAATTATATAATTAACTTTGAATTATATAATAAAATTTAACTTATATAAATTTATTTATTTATTTATTTAAAGGAAATTCTTAGACCTAATTGGACTCCCAAATTAACTATTAAGTACAATAGAGTTTCTGTAATCTGACGTATATAGGACCGGCGAGTGTCGGATTACTGGATTTTGTATGTACAGTAAGTACATTTATGTACAGTTATGTACAGTTAAACATTATAAATGCATTTTATCAATAATATTAACATTTACTGATACTTACTGTACAGTAAAACACGTACTTGGTTCATAGGTTAGTTTATCGTATTAATCACGAATTTATCGTATTAATCACGATTGTGACTGTTTTGGTGACCGAACCTGCAACGAACGAGCAAAAATTATTGTGACATTGTCACAATGCTGGGCTGAAATTTTTAATCATTTTTTATTTATTTAATTTAAAATATATGTTATCGATTTTTGTAATGTCTTGCTTCTGTACAGTACATCATACTTTTCCTAAAAACAATAGAATCATACTGGTCATCTGTCTAACTCTGTTCTGAAGAAAATCTTTTGAATTGAAATCATGTAGGAGCCTCCTGTCCCTAAGCTTTCTGTATCTGATCTCGACTTTGATGACTTACNATATTACTTTTATTTTAAGTTATTTTTATATTAATTTGTATAATAATATATGTTAAATAACACATAAACATATGCACACAGAAATGTAAAGTTCATTTTTTGTGATGAAGGTCCTGACTTTTCTGAAATTCTTGTTCTTTTGCAATAAAGTCGTAAAGTTTCCTGTGTCGCTTTTTTCTCTCCTTAAGCAAATGTCGGTAGCAGAAGATTGCATGCAAAACGCCTCGTTTCGCTTTTTCACTCCTTTCAAAATCTGGATCATTCGCTACAATTTGATCAACGATTTCGGTTATCGTTACCCCAAATTTTTACTAAGGAAATCTGTAGAGAAATTTTTTGGATTCTTCATTTTCAGAATCTCTATTTTCCAGTTCCACATAAATTCCATGTTCTGCCAGTTCTTGAAGGTCGTCGTTGATAAGGCTCTCACCAGAAACCTGCTGTAACTCCTCAATATCCTGCTCGTCTATATCTCCTACTTCTGTTATATCGATTAGGTTGAGTTTGGCCAACCTAACGATACAGTGATAGGCTCTTCTCGTTGAGAATTCTTGGATATCTTCAGCCATAACTTCTTCCACACTTCGTTCATGCATTTATCAGTTAATTCTTGCCAAGTGAAGTCGATATTTTCTATGGCATTTATGATGTTATATTTTTTCCAAAATTGCACCAAACAAACATAGATTTAAAGAAAGTACACCTTTATGCCACTTTTTGCTGATTGGTTTGTGTTCGCAAATAGTCGTATTATATACGAATCAATGAAATGCCGCGATAATTTAAATCAGCGTAAATTTTGAGCTTTTTTTAGGTTTCGAGAAGACCGCGTTATATCGAATCAGCGTTAAGCGGAGTCTTACTGTATATAAAATAGATATTTTTCATTTTTTACATTGTAACAATTCTAGAAAACAAACTGATTTAATAGAATTACTAATTGATTAATTTATTAAATTGACTAGACATTATGAATAAAGCTACATTCCCTTTGGGAAGTTTGATGAAAGAACTTCATGTTTTTATTATGAATTATTTACTTTTGTGAATTATTTTAATTAACATTTATCAATAAATTATATATTATAAAATTTTAAGTATATAATATTAAATAATCAAAATTAAATAAATTTTATTACGTAATTTATAGATAGCTGTGATAATTATCACAACTATCGAAAATTTATATTACAATACAGTATTTGCATATTTATATATTTATATTGTATATTTGAATAAATTAAATTAAATGCTAATAATTATTAAAAGTATTTCAAGAACAACAAGCTTATATTATATGGGTAATATTAGTATAGGTATATTAATTACACAAAACTCTTTAATAATAATCAGAAACTATATGATAATTAGAATCATTATTAAAATAAGTTTATTTGGGCAATTACTTTGCACATAGCTTTCAACAAAATAATTTGTGATAATTTCACTTTTTTAAAAATAAGTATTATTAACTGTATTAATTAAACTAGTGTTGACTAAAAGTATTATCAACAAAATTATATGATTCAATCACAATTAACGTAGAGGAAACGTTTGGAATATCATTTATGGTATATTGTATACAAACAGCAACTCATACACGATACCATGCGAGCGCTGATCGTCATGCTGATGCGAAGCAGATGCCAGAGTCTAGTTACTTTGGCATCTCTCGGATTATCACTCCTCAAGTGTATTATTGTTATCATTATCGCTTTTTCCGACAGATAATAGCAGTATTCATGTTGACTCGTCCCGCCAATGTGATAAACTATGATAGAGAACGTGAATTTTATTACAGTGCTCAACAAATTTTATTTGTCTTTATTTATAATGTTTGGGAATTATTTATAATTAATCACATATAGGACTATATATACAAGTTATATAGGTCTATATGTTATGACTAAAGTCCGAGTATCGGGTAAAACTAGTATTAACTAGCTAATGCTAAACTTTATTCAAATTAAAATCGGATAAAGAAGACATTATCCAAAAACGAATGGATGAAGAGCTAAACTTAAAATTTGGGTTTTATACGGATAACATGGAGTGTACCCACCGTTGTTTATATAGAGCTAAATATATATTATTGCCATTTTAACCAAATCTATTTTAAAAAATGTAAATTTGAGATAAAGTTTTAAAATATTTCTTCATTTTATACACAATTTCTAAGAAGTAATTAATAATCGATATTAAATTTCATTTATATTAAAGTTTTTGATACGGTAAAATAATGTTTAGGGGAGACCGGGGCAAGATCGGCATGTTAAGCTTTACTTAAATTTTGTGTAATAAATACTGCTGTAAACTGAAAAAAAAAGCTTGCATATTGTCTATTGGAATGTTACCTTACTATAGAACTGGTTAAAATCAGTTTGGAAATAAAAATAATTAAAATAATTACAACTTTACAAGAAGAGAGAAATTGACGAAGTTGCCCCGGGTATAGGGGCAAGATCGGCAACTTCTCTCTTTTTGTAAAGTTGTAATTATTTTAATTATTTTTATTAAAGTTGCCCCTGGTATAGGGGCAACAGTAATGGG